TCAGTCATGTCCAACTCTTCGTGAGTTGGGAAAACTCATTTGGGATTTCCAGAGTAGTTTGTCATTTCCTTCTCTAGCTCATTTTATATAGATGAGGAAACTGAGGCAACCAGAGTTAAGTGATTTGCCCAGGATCATGCAGCTAGTGTCTGAGGCCAGATTTGAACTTAGGAAGATGGGTCTTCCTGACTCCAGGCCTGGCACTCTATCCACTGCACCACCTAGCCACTTTCATTCCAGGGCTATTAGGGTCCAGGGTTTCCCATTTTCTCAATTCTAAAAACCTTTCTATTCCCTCATATACATGAGAGCTAGAGCAGGGAAATAGAGAAGGCAAAAAGACAAAACTCATCCCAAGGGATAAAGTCACTATCTCCTCCAGGTCTAACTAACATTCTTTTCCTTATTATATTCATGAGGCCAATGAAGCCTAAACCCATTTCAGGCTTTCATTTCCCTTGCATCAGGTACGAGTTAAGCTGCATGGCCACCAAGATTCCCCCCACACACACACAGAACTCTTAAATTCTGTGATTCTGTTTTAGGAAGCTTGGAGTAGTCTGTCTTTCTGCTTGTATTATATTCCTAGAACTTATCACAGAGCCTGGCAACTAAGTGCTTGATGAAAGCTAATTGACCTGACCTGATGATGGAGAGCGCAAAGAGAAATATTCTATAAGCAGTTGGGTTGCAGAAATCAAGAAAAGTCATTACTGAAAGTACAGATCTGAAATTTGTCTAGTGACAAATGACAGTTGGACTTGTAAGGGTAGACTGAGTCACCTAGAGATTTGACTGCATCATTTCTTTCCTCAAGAAGCTTAAATGGTTCCCTGATGTTTCTAAGATAAATCGTCCATCTGGCAATTTAAAGCCCCTTGCAAACTTTCCAAGTTATTTCACATTATTCTTCATATACTACACATTATAAGTTAATCTATTTTTATTGTTCTCCAAATTCCTCCATTTTCGTTCCTTTGCACAGGCTGACCCCATCCCTAAGCATGGAATGCTCTTATTCACTTCTACCTCTTAGAATTCCTTGTCTCATCTCTAACACAAGGCTTTTCAGGTTCCCCCTCCCCATCATTTGTGCCTCTCCATCCTTCTCCCCAATAAATCCCTTCTTTCCTATGTTCTTTCTAGCTCTTAAGATTCTCATCTTTGAGTTCTCCATATTTCCTCATAAATATTCCATAGAGGAGACATCCAAAGTTCTTAGGAAGTTCCTCTTATTTTTAAATAAACCTGAGCAAAACCTATGCACTAACGATTTGCCCTATGCCAAGATGTACAACTGGGGACTGGGAGAGGGGGAGAGAGGACTCTATAAACAACAAGAAAGGGGATGAAGAGAAACTGACCATAGTTCATTGCTGGTTAGTCCATTAGTTACTTAAAAGGTGCCATTAGAAATAATTCAGTATGAAAAGGAAAAGATTTGAAGTCAGTGGACCTGAATTCAAATCTTGACTTTGGGCAGTCCTGTTCCTTTCTCTTTTTTTTTCCCCAATCTGTAAAATGGAAAGAGTTGGATTTTTTTTGTTTTTTTTTCAATCTGTAAAATTGGGGAGTTGGATTAGATGAACCTTAATATCCCTCCCAGCTCTAAATCCTGTGCTCTAAACAGAATAAGATTCTTCCCATAGAACAGGAGTTTTTATCCTTTTTTTGGTGGTCTGGTAAAGCACACTATGGACTCCTTTTCAGAACACTATTTTTAAATACATAAAATAAAATGCAAAAGATCACAAAGGAAATCAATTGATATTAAACTATAATTATTAATGTTTTAAAAAGTTCATGAACCTTATGTTAAGAACACCTGTGACATAAAGAAGCTCCCAACTCTTTCCTCAGATGTAAAATGAGAAGGTTGGATTTAATGGTCTGACTACATTCATTCTTTTAGCAAATCTTTATTTCTTCCACTATAAAATAGGGTATCTATTATAGATTCTGTATGGTTCTTTCAAGTCTGACATCTATAATCTACTGTTTATTGGATCCCCACTTTCCCCTGGGAAGACGCATTGTCATTCAGTATGTTAGGGTTGAATCAGAGAATATCAGGAATGCAAGGCACCTGAGCAGTCATTTAGTTCAGCTCCTCACTCAAATCATGAATCCCATCTACATCATCCCTGACAGGTAACCACTCACCTTTGGGAGGGGGGGAGGGGGACTAAAGAGGGGGAGGTAAAAGCAAAGGACAACTCTGGGGTTACAGATCTGAGTGCAGAAGCACATGGTAGTGGCATCACCAGAATAAGGGGAAATTGAACAAGAAACAGGCTTAGGGGAAGATACAGTGGGTTCTATCCATTTGAGATACATTGAGGTTGATTTGTTGACAGGACATCTCAATGGATGGTGCCAGCCAGTAATTGTGATACGTGCTTCATGTTCAGAAGAGACATTGGCAGTGGATGTATGTATATATGTATGTATGTATGTAAGCTACATAGAGATGATAATTGATCCCATAGCATCCAATGCCATGGAGAGAGAATATGGAGTGAAAAGAGAACAGGGCCAAAGACAGAGTCTTGCTTGAGGGCTTAGGAGATGGGTGATAGTCCAAGAAATGGGACTGAGGAGCTTTCATAGCAGTAGATAGGAGAACCCAGAGCACAGCAGAGTCACAGAAACCAAAGGAAGAGAAAGGGCTAAGAGTATGCACACTCCAACTTACTGATGCATCCCAAAAGCTTGGCACCAAGAATTGAATACAATAACACAGATGTGTGTGGTCTGACCAGCTCAAGTATCATTCAAGAAAGGAAATCATAGTAGTCTGAGTTAAGGTAACTCCTGAAGGAGCCTAATCCATCGGTCAACAAGGATTTATTAAATGCTTAGTGTGTATACCGTGTTACATGCTAGAGACACACACACAAAATGGAAGAGTTCTGCCCTCAAGAAGCTTTCGTTCTATTAGTGGATGCAGGAAGAACAGAGCTATCTGCAACCAGCATGTAGGAACCTGTGGCCTCGAGGCCACGTGTGGCCCCTAGGTCCTCCAGTGTGGCCCTTTGACTGAATCCAAACTTCACAGAACAAATCCCCTTAATAAAAGGATTTGCTCTGTAAACTTGGACTCAGTCAAAAAGCTGCACCCAAGGATGTAGAAGGCCACAGGTTTCCCACCCCTGGTTCAGACCTTGAGAAAACTTAGCACGTGGTATAAGCTGTTATACCTAAAAACTAGTTTATTTTATGTATATGAGCCTCTCTCTTCCCCCTTTCACTGCTGACATGAGCACACACACACACAGTGCACATACATGACACATATACACATACACACACTCTTCTGCAAGCAGGGGTATGCTGTTGAATATTTAACAACCAGCCTGTGGTACACTTTTCAGTTTTACGCGCATTACAAACATTTTGTCCAATCAACAAATTCAAGTCTTGGTTTGTAGCATTTGCTGATTTCCAAGGGTGAAAATGTTCACACTGAAAATTTAACAATCAGCTCTCCAGCTGGTTGGGTTCAAGCTGGCTCCAGTACTCCCTGTCTATAGATGTCCTTATACAGCATGACAATAGAAAGGCTCCTAGGATGGGTGGCCTTTGAACTTTCTCTGTTTTTATGCAGGGAGTAACCAGGCTCCTTTCAAAGAGGGAATAGTTATTTCCCCTTCCCCAGCAAACCTGGGAAAAATGAAGATCTCTGATAGGATGACACTGGTTCATTATTCCTTCCTAAATTGTGAATCTTTTCCCTTAATATGACAGATTCCAAGTTAAAAAAAAGGGGGGGGGAGGTGTTTCATGACACCGACTGATTCCAGGATCTTGAACACCTCGCCTCACACTTAAAGTGGGTTTTAACTTTATAACAACATGTGAATGAGAACTAGAAACCAAAGCGAAAGATGTGGAATGATACCCTTCTTGAGTACAGTTGTTAATATCTGAATTGTTTCCTTTGGCAAAGTCTGATTTCCTTTCCGTTCTGTCTTCCCTTGAAGACACCAGTTTGCAATTCAGAGAATTGCAAAATTGGTTTTACTTTCATCTTTCTACAATGAATAATTCTACTGAATAATTTATACATAAGACATTGTTCGATTAGAAGGAGCAGCTCAGCATCCATGCCTCTCATTATTTCTCATTTTATATTCTGTGATGCTGCCAACAAGAGCCCACTTCATTGGTTTAAAGCCCCAGGTACAATCTTGATGTCCCAGGACCAAGTTCTCATTCTGCCCTCACTCTGGGTAGCTTCCACTGAGCTCCAAGGAAGCCCTTTCTCAGAAGAGAGAAGCTGGAGAAAGATCTGTCTCTCTTCTGATGAGAAGCATGTGTTCTTCCTTTTCCTTTCTCATACCCATTTTTCAAATGGCATCCACATTGATTTCATCATGCCTTTTGCAATAAAACAGCTAGATGGTACATAAAGGAGAAATACTCAGAAACATTTCTGGGCAGATGCCAGGTACTCAAGGGGCACAGAAGCTGAGGGTGTGTCCCTTTGACATACTAGCCAATTGTGAATGTCTCTTTCATAATGCACATCATCCATAAATTTAATTGGTGTCTATCTGTACACTGAAAAAGGCCAAGATCTGAGAGCTAAATTCTTCCTCAGAAGTCCCCTAATAATCTCTATTTTTTATCTTTAATAACAATTTTGTACGCTCTACCTTGTAGTTTCTTGGGCACATCTTACCTCCCCTATTTAGCAAAAAGAGTAGAAGGCTCAGGGCCCAAACATATGAGTTTTGAGTTCCCTGCTCTATCCCTTATAGTTGGCAGTCTTTAGGAAAGTCATATTGTTAATCTGGGCCTGTTTCCCCATTGGTAAAATAGGGATAATATTATTATGCTAGCCACTTCACAGGGTTGCTGCTTCATTGGTTTATTAAGGATGGCCTTTCTATTATTAACATGAAAATATTAGCTAAATAATAAATAAAATTAAATAATAATTAACACGAGTAATGTCAAAATCATGATATTTTACATTACCCCTTCTTGACCCTCAGAATGTCAGTATTGGGGTGCAAGTCTCCATCTTCCTACTCTGGATTTTGAAGATGTTTTAACAAGTGACGAACATGCCTATAAGTGGCTGTCCACTCTTAAGAAAATCGGCATAGTGCGGCTAGCTGGAGCAGCTGCCCAGCGGGGTGAAGTCGCTAAACTTGGCAAGAGGATTGGCTTCCTGTATCTCACGTTTTATGGGTGAGTTCCGGCTCAGCCAACATACATAATATTTGCTCCACTTTGCATTACAGAGGAATTCTTTCACTGGAATTGTTTCAGCTATCAATGTCGAGGCAGAAATTTCCATAACCAACTGGAAGCCAGATAAGAGGAAAGCCTGTAAAAGAGGAGGCTTTGCAACAACTGGAGAAATTTTCAGAATTAGCTTTAAAGCCACAAGATGCCAGGAGCAATTGGTAATTCAGTCTTGAGTGTGTAAGAAGATCAAGTCTTCCCACTCTGCTTTCCAAATACTCAGATTTCACCAGCATTGATGTTAGAGCTGTAATATAACAAAGCCTAGTCTCGGGAAAGTGAAACCAATTACCATCTGTGCTGGGAAGAGGAGGCAGAAACAAGTAGCTGACACTTATACAGTACTTTGAGGTTTGAAAAGTGCTTTAAGTACTATATCTCTCTTCTAACAACTCTAAGAGGCAGGTACTATTATGACGTCCATTTTACAGATGAGGAAACTGAAACTCAGAGAGGTAAAGTGTCTTGCCAGGGTCACTCTCTCTCTCTGAGCTTGTTTCCTCATCCACAGAATAAGAGAGTCCGCCTTGATGACTTCCAAGGTCCCTTTTGTCTTTAAATCCATGATCCAAAGTATTATAAGTGGGATTTGATCCTAGGTATTTCTGAGTCAAAGGATCACATATGTAGAGATGAAAGAGACCTCAATTTACTCATTGGACAAATGAGAACTGAAGCCCAAGAGGTGAGATGACTTACCTAAGGCTATATAGGTAGCATCAGAGTAAGGATTACAACTCAGGTAACCCTCATTCCAAATACAGTACCCTTTCTAAAGTCCAGTATTCCATCCACTTGACTATATCAACACTGCATCTCCCATAAGAGCAGGACTAAACGAGTTTTAAGTGAATGGAAATAATCTATTTGTGCCCCATGGCAAATAGCCAGAAATATAATGCATTTGCATTCTGAGTCAAGAGGTTGCTTAAAAGAAGGGCCTAAGAGATTCTTCAAAAGAGAAGGATGACATTTCCAGAGAAAGAACTGATGGAGTCTGAAAGCAGATCAAAATACACTTTTTTTATTCTCTATTTTTCTTGGGTTTATTGTTTGGTTTTTGGTTGGGGGTTTTTTTTGTCTGTGTTTTCTTTCACAACATGACTAATAGGGAAATATATTTTGCATGTCTGCACCTGTATAACCTGTATCAAATAGCTTGCCTTCTCAGTGGGTAGGGTGGAGAGGGAGGGAAAGAATTTTGAACTCAAAATTTTTTTTAAATGTTAAAAATTGTTTTTACATGTAATTGGGGGGGAGTGAATAAAATATTAAATGATTAAGAAATAAAGAAGAGTGACAAATAGCACTTGGACATTCTAATCAGCACAGAGATATACCTTATCCTATTGCTTCCTTGGATGATATAGTTTTAATATATTTACAGCATATTCCACATTAAACCTTCTGTGAAGTTGATGTCTTTAAACCTAGGATTATTTTTCTTTCAGTCACTTCCTATTATTTAAGTGGTATACCTCACTCTCTTTCCAAAAGGGCTTGAGGCAGCTCAGTGCTATAAATACTCCTAACATAAGGAGACATTTAAGTTCATAAAAAATCAATTCAATAAACCTTTATTAAGGATTTTTTTTCTTTTGGCTTAATAACATTCTGTTACATTCACACAACATAATTTGTTTTGACATTCCCCAAGAACTGGGCATCCCTCTTAATTTCTAGTTTGGAACTACCACAAAGACTTGCATATATACATATACATGCACACACCTATTTATACACATAAATGTATATATACATAAATATGTGCATACACACACACATATATACATATATATATATATATATATATATATAATACACATATACATATATATGAGTCCTTTTCTTTGATCTTTTAGAAATATAGGGGGCATCTAGGTGGCACAGTGGATAGAGCACCAGCCCTAAAGTCAGGAGGACCTGAGTTCAAATCCAACCTCAGACACATAACACTTACTAGCTGTGTGACCCCAGGCAAATCACTTAACCTCATTGCCTAGCCAATAATAATAATAATAATAATAATAATAATAATAGAAATATAGGACAAGTAATAGTCTCACCAGATCAAAGAGCATGCATAGTTTAGTGACTTTTTAGTTTTCTGTGCCTCTAAAAAATAATTTTAAGGTGCTACTGTACAAATATTAGATCAAAATAGCTACAGCCCAGAGGCCAAAACACATGTCATTTTTAGCAGCTACTTCTTCTCAGATGATGTCATCAAATTGTCAGCTCGTTATCTGCACAACCAGATAAAATGGTCAATAAGTCCCTATTTTACGAAGGATGAATGTTTGCTCAGTAAGGGAAAAATAAGAACAGAGGGAAGGCCATGCTTTCACATCAATCAGTAAACATTTATTGTCTAATATGTGCCAGGTACTATGCTAAGCACTTCATGTATATGTAGTGTCACCGATTGAGAACCAGAATCTAATAAATCCCCTTATTTTACAAGTGAGGAACACAAGACCCAGAGAAATTAAGATACCATGGTTGGGAGGGAGGGACTCGCACCTTTTTTTTTTTTTAGAGTAGTGTGGTTCAATGGAAAGAATATCACAGACCCTGGGTGTGAGTTTGCACTAGTCATTTACCTCCTCTTTTCCTCAGTTTCCTCATTTGTGAAAACAGAGAGTTGGCTTAGGTGAGCTCAGTTTCCTTCTTGCTATACAGCTATGTAATCCTATGATTCCAGGGAATACAACTGATGAAGAGCAATTAAATAACTGAGTTGAATAAATAGCCTGATAATAATAATGGTGGTGTTGATGATGATGATGAAGACGATAACAACAGATCCCTGGAGACATTTAAAACTGGGGTGGGGAAGGGGGGGTGGAGGTGGTGAGAGGGAAAAGGAGAAATCATTTGCTGTCTTTTTTGGAGAATGAGATTAAAACAGGATTTCCAAAAGGAGTCTTAAAAGGAGACATGACTTAACCAGAAGTGGAATGTTCCTAGGACATGATGCTTCTTTATACCCACCTATCTTCAATGAATATTCCAAAATTTTGAATGATGCATCCCGGAGTAAATTCCAAAGGAACCACATCCTCTGGCAGTTAATAGGAGAATTTCCTACTCTATAATCAGTCAGCTAGTGGAAAAAAAAAATCACTGGACCAGGAATTAAAAGCACTTCTGAGTTCCAGCCCTGCAGCTTGGCCTGTCCCTTTGTTGCCAGGCTATTTCGAATCCATCACTTCACCTGTGGGCCTCATTCTTCTCATCTGTAAAAGTGACAGAACTGGACTTGGGGATTTCCAAGGTCCCTTCTTCCAGCTCTTAAATTCTTATGTCTCGATCTTTTCCCAGACCTCTTCCGCACAAAACAAAACTGCTCTTCAGGGATGTTATACTTTATTTTTAAGTGAATTCTTGATGTATTTTGTGTTGCCATTACAGATTCCTCCCAATACCCAAACCACTTTTCAAAGTACATTCTCCAAGAAAATGACTTTATTTATTAACAGAAAAGATCGATATGTCCTTGAACTTTGGCAGCATAGTGATAAAGAAGACTGTGTAACTCATCATATTTTGTTGCCTCTCCATGTTGACTTTTAATTGGTATTGTTTTAGTTGTTGCACATGTCGTTCTTTCAGCTCTGTTTTCCTTACTCTATAAATTCTTCATATTTGTCATTCCTTATGGTCCAGTAATTTTCTGTCACATTCACATGCCATAATTTCTTCAGCCATTCCCCAGCTGCTGCACATAGATTTTGCTGTAGTATGTCTTCTTCCTTCAGCCAATCTAATATGATTTTCCCATGCAGTCTGATAGGTATGAGGTAATACCTCAAGGTTGTTTTAATGAATCTATCTCTGATTATTTGAGATTTGAAATATTTTAGAGTAGTTAATGATAGTTTATATTTAGGGTCATGTTTATTTAGAATCATAATAAGAATAAGATCATACTGAGAAGTGCTGAAGAGACTTCAAAAACTATCTAGTCTGACCCTCTCATTTTTCAGATAAGGAAACTGAGGCAGTTAAGTAGCTTCATAATTCAAAGTGTTTTTCTGACATCATGCTTTTAGGAAAGGCATGGTGATTTTTAACATTTAAAATTTTTACATCAAATATTCTAGACCAATTACAAAGCCACTGCAGTGATAGGAGCTGAGATATCTTAGCAGTACCATGGAAGAAACATGTAATAGATAAATCTCAGATTAAAAATATGCAGAAAGTTTTGCACAAATTGAGCGCAGCAAGAAACAAATCAGAAACTGGGCAATAATCTCATTAATATGAACACTGGAGACAGCCAAGAAGTGTATGGAATCCAAACCCCATCAACAGTTGTTACAAACAAAGAGCAAACATTAGTTATTTCATAACAAGGCTATTCATATTCTGACAAATAAAGCACGCCATCACTTAAAGGGGAAGTTCCCTTAGTTTGTATATGCCCACAGATCCCAAAGAAATGGATAGAAAGTTTTCTTCTTCCAAGCATGCTATATGTCATAACATACAGCATGAAGAATGTGGTACATGCCTCTTTTTAGATGCTTCCCTCTCAAGGACATAGCATGGTGGATGATGGATTGCCTTGTTATAAGAGCAAATGACTATTTCTTTGTTCCACTGTAGGTGGTAGAGAGGGTATAGTGCTGGGCCTGAAGTCAGGAAAACCCAAAGTCAAATCCAAGCTCAGAAACCGACTACGTGACTCTGGACAAATCATTTAACCTATTTTTCTGTTTTCTCAGTTGTAAAATGGGGATAATAATAGCATCTACCTCCCAGGATCATTGCAAGGCTGAAATGAAATATTTTTATAAAGTACTTAGCACAGTGCCTAGCACATATAGGAACTATCATTATCATTATTATTATTACTATTGTTATTATTATTCATCTCTCATTAGTAATAATAATATTATTATTTACTTTTAGGACACTTTTTTAAGAATTTTAAC